CATATTTGCAATTTTCAACACATGCCTAGTTATCCATTTATGAGACAAATTCTTATAGTTGGTGCAATAAAGACTATACAGAATTTTATTAGAAGAAAACTTATAATTGGTTCTAACTTTAGGCATTTTGAGGATGAAAATATGATTAACACTCATGATGATAATAACGAGCATGTATTTTCATTATCAATTCCTAGTGTAATTTCAAGAGTAACTTCTGATAGAGAGATGAATATGGTTCGTGATTCTATTAGAGATCAGATTATACACTATAGATTGGACCTTTAATTATATAAATGTTCAATATTAATGAATGTTAAACTGTTTATTACATAATTTTTTCCAATATTAAACTATATATTTTTATTCTTATTATTAATGAATGTTAAATTGTTTATTATGTAACTATAGATCGAACCGTTAATTATGTAACTATTCAATATTAATAAATGTTAAACTATTTATCACATAATTTTTTTCAATATTAAAATATATATTTTTTATTTTTATTATTTAACATCTTAAATTTTATGTTATTTTAATTTTTTTCACATTTTTAAAAATATTTCTAATATGTTATATTTTTATAACAAAAATTATCATTTATCATTAAGCAATATCATTTTATGCTATTGCATATTCAAAAGTACATAAGTCACATTATTATGCCATATTTATTACACAGCTTTTCTTGCTATTTTAGACTAAAAATCATGTCATGTTTACCTAAATTACACACTTTTTATATTGATTGTGAAAAATCACCTAAGTTTAAGATTCTGTGTATTAGGGATATTTTGATCATAAAATTAAACTTTTAAAAAAGTGTTTGAAAAAATTATTCAAGATGCATTTTTAGTCTAGAAGAACAATAGTCTAATTAAATTTTTCAAATTCATTTTATATTAAAAGTAATTAATTTTAAAAGTTGACTATTTTAGAAAGTCAAAGTTTCAAGTTGATTTATTATCTTGCATGTGGGTTAGGTCATTTTGGTGCACGTGTGGGTTTACATTTTTTTATGTTGAATGGAACGCCCCTAACTTCTTTCGTGATATCAAAATTAATTTTTATTATTTGATTTATATTGTGTCATATATTTAGGAATTAATTTTAATTAAAAATATAAATTGTTATCTATATGTTTTGAACTTTGATCTTGTTTTATCATATTTGTTTGTGTAGCGTAATATACCTTGGATTTGGCACATGAGAACTATTGGATTGGAATGTTAGATGAGTCAAGAGGCAAAACATTTTAATTTTGGGGTGAAAGTACAAGCCTTGTATGGTTTTATATACTTTGTACCATACTTTGATTCTACTCTTTCTCTCTCTCAATTTTCATTATCTTTAGCTTTATTTAATTCAATTTTCAAACCATTTTCATCTAAATTTTCATCCATTTTACCCTAGTAAAGAATAAAATTACCCTGGCTCATTTTTCACCTATTTAATTAATACTAGAATTAGGCCCATTCATCCTAGATTTGATCAAAATACCTTAATTTCATGTTCAGCATTCATTCTTCCATTCAACATCATTTTTGGTAGCCACCCTTCTCCATTATCTCTCCATTGTTCTTAATGTTTTTTATGTTCTTCATCTCCCTCTTACCCTCTCTCCTCCATAACTCAAGATTTAACTATCAAAATCCTAATTCAACTCCACTATTCTTCTTCTTCCACCTCATAGTTCAAACCTTAGTGTTTTGTTTCTTACTTTGACTTCAAAATCTTCAAGATTTTCATGAGTATGATTTAGTCATGGCAGAAGGATTGTGTTCAAGTGAATTCCAAGATAACTAGAGGCTAAGTCTACAAGAAGTGCTAGAAGGGAAGGATGCTGGAGGAGTTTTTAAGTATCTTAAGAAAGATTGAAGGGTCACATCACTCTCCATTAAACCTAGGTTAATGTAATCTTATTCTTAAAATTAGAAACATTATTATATCTTATTTTTATTGATCAAAATTGGTATTTAACTTGATGGTTTATTATTTTGCCACTTGATTCTCCTTTATATAGTTGCTAAATTTTTTTTGATACATCATAATTCATATAAATATATGTTTTATGTGTGTTGAATGTGTTTTACATTGATTATGTGTAAATATGTTTAGTTAGTGTTTGATAAAATGTCTTGTGTGTAAAATTAAGCATTAGACTTACTATAAGCTAAGCTATACATAAGGGAAACCTAAGCAGAATTTTGATTACTTTGTACTTAATTAAGGAATTGATTAGGGACTTGTACAAAATTGTACAAGGACTTAGTTAGGAAAGCATACTTATATAAAATTGTGTAAGGGATTTAATTCAGCTAAGAGAGTGAAAATTAACTTAAACTTAATTAAAAAGAATAGACAAGAAATTTAGTATCCCATAACTCCTAGGACTCCACTTTAAAAAGGTTTAATCACTCACATTTTCATTTCATTAGTTAATCAGGTCTTTAGTTAAATCTGCCCTTTTAGTTTAATTAGTTAAAATCAATCAAATTTTAATTAGTTTAGCTCACTAGTTTAGCTTTAATTGACCTAAGTTAGCCTCCTTAGTGAAGAATGATCTAAGTTGCCACTAGTAATATATTAATGTTTTTGGCTATTTTGAAGTGTAAGTGACTTATTGCTCCAACATTTCAAAGACACAAATCATCATTAATCCAAACAACTTTTCTAACTTTTACTAAATTAATTTTTATCAAATAGACTTTTTAGTAAATGGACTTTTGACAAATTGAAAACCAAACACACACTACAACTACTTCATTTGTAATTTATAACTATTATTTTAATTTTTGATAATTGTAATTTTACACATTTAATAATTAAAATGATCATGCATTACAAGTAATGATAGTATTATCTTTACACTTTTATTTCAAATCACACTCAAATCCCAACAAACTTGCCTATAGTTTTTAAATTTTACAAAACTTATTTATAAATAAGTTTGGTTCATGAGTAATTTTTCCTTTAGTTTATTAATTAATACTTGCTCTTCTATGCATTTATATTATTGTATATAGTTTTTATTTTATTTTATCAAGTTGTTTGGAAGAACAGCTTGCATTAGGCTACCCTCAGATTCAACAATAGAGATCGCATCCGAGTTCCAATTACTTTAGAGGATGCAAAGATTATGAGGGTGTTTGGTTAAGGGGAGGGATTTTGCCCCCCTCTCCTTGTTTGGCTTCAAAAATTGGAGGGAAAATTTTTCCTCCCCTCACCCCCCTCTAAATTGGGAGGATTGGGAGGGAAGGTATAAAATTTGTCACACCTTGACCAATATGTCCTCTATCAGAAGTTTAAAAGATGCAGATACACTTTTCTAATATCTCAACACTAATAAAATGAGAGTAAAATTATCCATATATAATTATTTTTTCTCTCCTCTCCTCTTGAACTAAATAAAATAATATCAAACCCCTCCTCTCTTCTTCAACCAAACACACTCCATATAATTGCCAATTTCATGCTTTTAAAATGAGGGTCAAGAGCTTCTTCAATAACCCCATTAATAGAGAATAAAAGGTGCCTTGTCTAAACAAATTGTGTTAATTATACAATGAACCTGGTGGCTTAACTTTTCCTCTCCTTTTCTATTGCTCAGGTGATTATGCAGCCATGTAGCTACATAAATTTCTGAAAATTCATAGGACCAAAGTACTTAATGATTTGTCAGCTTCAGGTAGCCAAAGATCAAGCACCCAATGGCACCTGCTCTCACTGGAGTAAGTTAGATTTTGCCATCAAAACGCTTCCTTTCTTTCTGGTTTAAAATTCTCATAATTGCATTACACATGCCATTAGTGGTGGAGCCACGTTGAACTCAGAGGGGGCAGATGCACCCCTTAGTTGGAGTCAGTTCAATATGTGTGATGAGGGAGAGAGAAACTTGAAAGTCTTTAAATGTTGAAAGTCATGCCACATAGGAAAGAAATATGGAATTGTGCACCTTGCGTGGTTTTTCTGCTGCACTGTGTTTGACAAAAAAGTTACTTGACTTGCAATAATCACCTTTCTATTCATTTCACTAAATACTTTTTATTTTATATTAAAAACGCAAATATTTCTTTTTATAATTAGATTGTGTAAGATTTAAGCTTTTATAACTTCTATTATTTTAATATTTTGCACACCATTATTATTTGACAGTCACCTATTCTTAATTATTTAAATATATTTAATTTAAATAACTAGGTTTTTTTATATATACTATATATATAGATGTGTGTTCCAACTTACAACCTAATAAAATTTAAACATAAATTATAAATTTACTAACTTAAATATGCCATTATTTATTTTTATTTTACATATATCAAATAAAAAACTTCATAACAATTTTTTTAAATTGTTTATTTTTTTATTTCTCATATTCAATGTTTTTAAAAACATGAAATAACAACTGTAAGATATAAAATTAAATTTTAATTATTAAATTTTATTTTTAAATATTTTTAAATTATATTGCACCCTTAAGCTAGACCTTGGCTCCGCCACTGCATGCCATCATAAATTATCAAAGAAAAAAAAAACAGAGACACCCTGTTTTATCATCTCCGCTCAGCTTGAGGACGGAAGAAAGTAGACAAGAATCAAAGGAGGATTCTTCTTAAACTGTCTTGGTCATGACAATTCGAAGCCTTTTATTTAAGAGCCGAGTCCTATCCGGCAGCATTGATGATCTGTTCTTGCATGGCACGGTGATGTTGAATTCCCCAAACAGGGGAGAAAAGGCATTCAAACCCCTTTGCTCCTCAGAAAGGTTTGGAGGAGAACAATGGCGTCAGTGGTGGAACCCCAGCTCATCCACACACACACCCACACACAAACTTTATACGCTTAAATTTACTGTCTTTCATCTATATATATTTTTATTAATTATTAATCTCAATTTTCTTTGATGTTTTTATATATTTAAATTCATTTATATTTAAACAACCTAACAATAAAAACATAGTGCGAGAGCGTTGGGGGATAACTTAATTACATCATTCTATGAAATGAAATTATATATATTTATATCTACGTTCACAGGGGTTTGAAAATAAAACAGATTGCCAAAAAAAAAAAAAACAAGAAGAAGAAAATACAGATTTGTGATGACCTTAGTAACAATGATGATTACGTGAGGTAATCATTTTGGCCAAAGAACAATTTCAGCTTGTTTCATCTTAATCTTGTCCACCGAAAGAAAATGCCAAGTGGATAAGCACAACACGACACATCAGCAACAGCACTGACCTTCCACTAATCATCGGAAATATTTGAATTGAGCAATTCAAGTCCGAACTTAAACCCCTTAACCGCATCACAATCTCAGCAATTTAACACTTAATTATCAATCACGAATACGATTCCACGAAATACCAATCCCCATCTTCTTCGACCTGCAATCCCATCTCAGAAATGAAAGCCTCATCATATTCATTACTCACCCAATCGCCCTCGCAAAAACCATTTTCGTCGTCATCACACCGATTCTCAGCATTGTAACCACTTCGAAATAGGTCAGCAAAACAATAGGAACCCTTCGGACTCACAGAACAACCACCGACCTCCTCCTCATCACCTTCGTCTTCGGAGTTGTCAACTGAGAGATGATCCAACATCCGGGTCACGGATAGGCCGGGAGGAGTGAAACCTGGTCGGGCATCAACAACCCGCCAGGAGGCGAGGCGAGCGTTGCGGCCGACGTCGGAGGATTTGAGCTTGTGGGTGCCTTTGGCCTTGTGCCTGGACTTGGAGGATGGGAGGATGTGGCAGGCATTGCAGCCGGGGACAGCACACTTGCCGGTGAACTTGGAGTGGTTGGTGGGTTTAGAGGGAACCTTGGCGAAGAGGCCGGCGGTGGGAGGTGAATCGAAGCGGTTCAGGTATCGGGTCTTGGGTCGGGGGTTGAGGGATGGGGGTAGAATCTGGTAAGACCTGACCATTCCATGTTGGCGACCCTCCCTCTTCATGACGGTGGCTGTAGCCGGGGCTTCAGAAAATTGACGTGAGAAGGAGGGATTGTGAGTGGCTTAAATAGCCGTAGGTACAGCAATGGAAACTTGGGAAGCAAGGTGCTTATTATTATTATTATTATTATTATTTTGAGCAAAGCAAGGTGCCTAATTTAATTTATCGTAAGATCGGTCTTCGTTCATAGTACGTGCCCCCCAAGAAAAGTATTAGCATACTCCTAAATTGTTATTTGTAGGTCCGGGGAAAAAACAATTTTAATTCTATTTTTACAATGCTTAATTATATTTTATATTTATTTATACCTTTTAATTCTTATTAAACACTAAAATTTTTTATTAAAAATATATATTTTTTATCTTTATTAAGATAGAAGTAAAAACTTATTAAATTGTACAATATAATTAATAAAATCTAAAGTTTTTTTAATTTTAATAAAATATGTTAAAAATAACTTATAAATAGGATTATAAGGAGTACTTTGCAAAAATAAGACATAATAATTCTATTGTTCTTTCTTTTTTTTTCATTTGGTCCATGGTTCATAGACAATTTATTTCTCTAGCTCTATTTATAAGATTTTATTTATTAATTCTTAATAGAATTTTTTTGGGGCAAAATTTAATGACCTTTTTATCAGATATTTAATGAATATTTACTTATTACCCATTTTCAAAGACACCTTCTTATCTTGGTATAATTAGGCTTTATCATTATTTCTATCTTCTTTTATGAGATAGTCATGACCAAACATATGACTTATGTATACAGACTTAGATAAGAAGTTTTAGAATTTATAATTTATGAATTTTAGCCAAAACAAAAACTTAAAAACGAGTATTAATCAATAAAGATAGAGTCTTCATTTAATACATGAATGATAAAGACATTGATCATGTCTCTCTCTCTGATTTTTTTATTTTTTTTAATGAAGGCAAATATTATTAAAAATAAGACTCTTACAAACAAACCATAAAAAGGCCATTAAGGGAAACCGACATTGATCATGTCATTGTCTTAGAAGAAGCATTACACTTAGAGAGAATAAACCAAAATTGGCCCAAAAAAAAAAAAAAACAGAGAGAATAAACAAATGGATGGGGACAGGGCAGAGGCAGGGACCAAATTTATACTCCCCATGGAATTGTGTGCATGCCAGGACCTCCTTCAATCACTGCCACCTTCACTTTACAAACCTCATAGTATTTGACATTGTTTGTTTCATTGGCCAGCAAAAAGGAACCCAAAAAAAAAAAAAAATATATATATATATATATATATATAAAAACTTAACAGGGAACAAATATGTCCACAGGCCACAACGTTCATTCTTAAGAGGAGACCAAAATGTATGGTTCTCTCCTTCGGTGTGGAATTTAAAAACTCATCCAAGGAAGGCCTATACGATCATTATCAAGTAAATCACGCTTTACACGTTCTCTGTCGCTGCTGGATCACCATAACATTGCACAAGATGCTCTTTGATTTCATCTTCGGGTTCCACAGAAGCCACTGATTTAAAAGTTTTCTTGGCAGGATAAAACACGTAATGTTGACATATGAAAAATATGTCAAAGGATACACTCACCTGCAATTCTCAAATTTATTCAAAACCCAATCCATATTAGTTTATCTAAACCCAACCAAAATTTCACAGTCAATGAGTTTCAGAGTTTGAGATTTTTCTATACCAAAGACAGCATCAGTTTTCCTACATTCCCATAGAAGTTGACCCAAGAACCTGAAAAATTAATGAAAAATATTAATTTACAACATGTTAATCTAATGGTTTACCCTAAAATCTAAACCCTTAGTGGCTTATCAACAGAGGAAATCACACACCTTGATCAATGGACTGCACAACCATCTGTCCATAGTTTGATATGCCTCCAGAAAAATCAAGCAGAATGTTGCCGATGCTGAAGCCGTCAGTACTTTTTCTCATGAAGTTCATGGTTGCCTATATTCATTCACAACAAAATTTGTTAAACACCAAATGAATAGATGATAAAAAAACGAAAAGGGACATGAAACAAGAAGACAAGAAATAAACTAACCTGAGGAACATATTTTATGATTGTCATACATATTTGAATTGTGCTGCAACATCATTAATTTTAAAACAGAATTAGAACGGACCTAATTAACGTCGGTGCATCATCGACATGGAACAGTGAAGAAAAAGTCAACATAGGAATGTTGATCAATGATGCTTGTTAGCCTCACACTACAAGCGTGTAATAAAAGCACATAGATGCAAATAATTAACAAGAAGCGGAATCAACATACTTGAAGAGGGAGACGAGCCAAAGCCAGGAGTGTGCCGGCAAAGCTATGAAGGAGCAAATTGCAGCACTAAGCCATACCGCAGAGACAATTCCAATGGCAAGTTTGGAGATTTTCTGAGTTCCACGCTATAGGAACAAGTCATGACGTTCAGGGCAATTCAGAATTTAACGAATAAAACGAAAACAATAGTAAGTCTCGTTACTTACTTCATAGATCACAATTTGAAACAAGGTAAGTGCGGTGAGTACCACAGCATGGGCAGAGAAAGCAACATCATTTGCCGCCACAGGTATCATCTAAAATCAAAAGACATAAACATAAAATATCATCGTGACGTCAAATCCTTTGCATCTATACGAGGTTTCATCAACCTGAAGGTAGCTACATTCCAGTGCAAACAAAAGTAGCACCAACCTCAACATCACCACTCAAAATCCAAAGACAATGCTAAACTGACCTCCGACCTACTTTGATCATTGTCCCAGAAACAAGGCTAGGTATTCCTGTTTTGAATTTATAAACTCTAAAAAGACCAGCTACCAACGCTTAACATTCCATTAAAATTAGACTTAAAAAGTAATTCCATTTACAAAACCTCAGTAGAATTTGCTCCGAACAGGAATAAAAAGGAGAATGATATTTAAGTCCTAAAAAATTAAATTAATGAAAACTAGATCCCACCAAATTTTAAAAAATGATTAAAAAAATAAGATAAAGGTAATTATAAACTTAGAAATTTCAATTACATATAAAATTTGAAATGTAACTTCCATATTGTAACTTAATTCCTATTTGTAATTTCTTCAATTAATATTTATAATTTTTTTAAAAAAATAATTAAAACGTAAGTATCCTTAATTAATTTTTTTCGACACTTGCTGCGGGATAGAAAACCAGCGCTCTGGCCCAAAACAAAAAACGCAAGTGCCGAGGAAACAGGATACAAAAATTAACTTGATTTATTCTAAAATGTTCAGCTATTGACTCCGCGCCTCAGTGGTTTACTACGGTGCCTCTTAAACTGCAAGACGCGAGTTCGAAGACTGGCTTGGGTATCAAAAAAAAAAAAAGTTATGTTGATTATGTTGTCGACAATCAGGAGTCCGCACCATCATTCAGTGTGGATTCTCTCTATTCAGGAACTTGGATCAAAGTAGATAGAACCCACCTCTCCAGAACCGTATTCCTCAAAATACTGCTTCTGAACAGCAGAACTGAAGTACACACAGGCGTTGTAGATGAGATAGGAAGAGTGCTTCGTCAGATTCAACAAGGCGAAATCAAAGTTGAGCCCCACAACACTGAGACAACCCAAACCCAAGAGAGAGTTATACATAACCGGGGCTGTTGAGAAAAGAATTACCAAAACTGAAACCATGTTGTGCAGAATTACCTTTTCCTGCGAAAATTCAGGATGACTTGAGGGTAGAAACTGATCGACCAACAGGCGAAAGCGAACCAACCCAGGAATTGGTATGCGACTTCCAGCGGACCTGAATTCCAGGAAGCCATGTCCGGCGCTGCTCTTTCCCCCTCCTCGCCGGAGAAGAAGCGGAAGAATGTCTCAGGTATAAATCTCCGTCGACCCAGCTCAGGACTTGGTGCTCACGTGCACGGCTTGCTCTCCTATTTATGTATGTGTTGAATGCCTTGCTTGGCAGTTGGCACTGACAAAGAAAAACAAGGGCCTTCGGCAAACTCCACTAAACGCCTATCAGTCGGAGTCACCAAAGAAAGAAGACGATGACCCCATTTTAATGAGCCACGCAACGGCAGATTTGCGTTTGGGTGATTAAAGTTTAGCATTTAAAATATATTTTTCAACTTTTAAAACAATAAATGTTATTTAAATAATTTTTAAATGAATAAAATAATCTGTTAAATGTGAGTTGTGATGGAGTTAAAATGTAAATTTGTTAGCGCTACTTGTTGGTGTACTTGAAATTATAAATGAGAGTTGAGTTATATTTTTTTCATTTTAAATTATAAAATATTTTTAAATAAAATATCACATATCAATAAAATTTATTAAATATATTTTATAACCTTATTCTTTTAAGATAAAAATATAAATTTTTAAAAATATCCTTTATTTAATACTCTATTAATAAAAAAATATTGAAAAGAGAGATTATATGTAAAAAATAATATTAAAAAATTATCATTAGAGAAACTTTATTTTTATTAAAGTATCTTAATCTTGAAATGCTAAATCTTTTTAAAAAATGTCTTATAATTTGAGAAGAATGAAGTACCTATTTTCATAAGTAACCATGATAAGGATGTGTTTTAATTTTTTTAATATTAGACTATATATTTTTTATTTTTATTATTTAACATATTAATCTTATGTTATTTTAATTTTTTCACATCTTTAAACATTTTTAATATATTATATTTATATAACAAAAATTATTAATTATTATAAATTAATGTTATTTTTAATTATTATAAATTTAAAAGTATATATTAATAATTTAAATAAATTTTAGTTTACAAACTAACTTTTAAAAAAATTTATATCAATAAAAATTTTATTATAACAGTTAACTTTTATTGAATTGATTGTTATTAAATAAATTTTTGATAAATTAAAAATTAATTACATATTCAATTATTTTAATCTTCACCTACTCCCATCTCATGCCTAATAAAAAACGTGCCTGATTTTGATAAAAAAAGCCGCCTCATTGTCCCAAAAAAGAAAAAGTTTGGCGCATCCCAAATTCCCAATCATTCTCCAATTTTAATTTGAGGAAGTAGATTGGTGCTCTGTATCTAAACAGGATCCTTTATTTGTGAAAATGCGTGAGGGGGTTAAGTTGCGTGGCGGGCGATTGGCGTTTTCTCTAATGCAGACTTGAAATTGCTTCCATCAATATCCATTAAAAAAAACAAAAGAATTGATGACACTAGCCACTTCAGCTTGTTGACGGCGTTTTATTGACCACTCAGGCGAAAAGGCGGGGCGGCTAGATGAAAAGAAAATGACCCGCTAGCAGCGCCACGTTTTGGACTTTGGTTTTGGATATTTGAAGTGAGGAAGTCGTGCGCAAAGTAAACTGCTGCGGGCAAACTATTGTCCAAATTCATATAATCAGACAAATCGACAGTCCAAATTCAACTCCCCTCGTTCGTAATGTGATCGCACAGGACAAAGGAGAAGGCGTGCGATGATGACTCCACAGTTCCTGGATTATTAATTTTTATTGCATTGGATTTGGATGAGTACTGAATTCATTCTCATACCAGTGTTTGATGCCAGTGTTTGGTAGTGTGAAATTGGGATCTCAAAAGTGGAAGTGGAAGTGGAAGTGGAAATGATCCAAAAAAAATAGTCTACTTCAATCTCACTTATGTAGACAATCTAGTTCTATTAAAATTGGTAAAACTCACTTTCACTTTTATATCTATGAAATTCATTTCTTCACTTAATTTCTTCATAAAAAAATAACCTACTTTCATGTGCATGTCAAATATTCCATCCCGTCGCATGACATAGAAGCAATTGTGATCCAAGATGTGGGAAATATTGTAATGCAATATTTAAATCGTTTTTTTCAATTTTTCCCTTTTAAAATAAGATATTTAAAGTCTAGACATTAGTTATATTATTATTTAATATTACATGTAAAAATAAAAATATATCTTATTTATTAATAATATTAAAAAAATTAAATTTTTTAAAATGTAAAATTAAAAATATCGTATAATAAAAATAAAAAAATATATTTTAAAATTTTATTTTCACCTTACTTTCTTTTAAAAATGAATCCTCTAAAATTTTGCCCTTGTCAGTGTCCCTGAGCGGTAGAAAATTCAAGCCTTTCAACCCAAATCTAACGTCTTATGTCTTGTCACATCACCTTATTTTAAAACAATTTAATTGAAAAAAAAATTCACACTTTAGATATATTTTTCATGATAATGATTCATATTGATTTTTTTTTCGTTTTTTATTTTTAAAACTCGATTTAAAAAATTATTTAGCAAATTTTTTTAAACCAATTTTTTATTAAACAAATCATGCCAATTTGAATGAGTTCAACTGTAGATTCCTGTAAACCTATTTTATAAATTAATCCCTACAAGCTTACTTTACTTAAATTTACAGGGATCAATCTGTAAGGTAGGCTTACAAGGATTTATAGTCTGATTTACTCAAACTCTCATGTAACCTATTTAACAAAAATCTGTTTTTAAAATATCAGCGAGATAATTTTTGTAGATCACGTTTTCAACATTAAAAAACTCAGTATGAATCATTATCATTAAAAAGAATCTAAAGTGGTGAAATAAAGCGTGACAAATTATTTTAGTATGGGATGACGTGGCAAATTATAAGATACTGAATTTGGATTGAAGGGCTTGGATTTTTCTACGTCTGAAGGGCGCTGAGAAAGGTGGAATCTGAAAGGATCCAAGCCCCTTTCTCTTCCTTTCTTTCACTCTCTTCTTCCTTCACTTTCATAAAAAAACTCTTGATTGCCACCAAACCAGGCATAAAGTGTGTTGCTTTAAAATGGCCGCCGGGTACCAACAATTTTTCTCAATACATCTATTTGATTTTACTGAAAATTCCAATTTTTTTTTCTAAAATGTCTGACCATTTTCATCTGTTTATAGGTTAAGTTGTTTCTATGAAATATATATGTTGAAACCAAGTCTTTTCCAAAAATCTATTGTTTTAGGCTTACATAGTTCTATAGCACTTTCTAAAAACAAAACAAAACAAAGTAAAAGACATTTTTGCTTTTTGCGTGCGGGCAAACTGGCAAGGCTGCCGTCTTGCTCATTCATCAGTAGAGACGATTCCGCACGTGCTGCATGTGGGGAAGAGATCGGGTTTCATTTGAGTTGAATTTATTCAGACGGGTCCCAAAAAGCTCAAACTTTCAAAGACAAAAAACCTCACATAGCTAAATCGAATAGCCAGATTGTAATTCTTTTTCTCCTTAATTTTTTAAAATAAATTCAATTTTCATTTTAAATTTAATTATTTTTATTATTATAAAAATATAAAATATACTTTTAAAATAAAAAAAATGTAGAATACTCAAATTTTTTATAATAATTAAAAAAATTGTGGGTCTTAAATTTTAAAAATCAATATTAAAATATATTTTAAATATTATTTAATTTATTTTATGCATGAAAAATTATAAAATATTAAGTTTTAAAATTTTTAAAATAAAATATTTATCATAGTATTTTCAAATATAAAATAAGCTAGAAATCAAAGAAATATTTAACCTTCAATATATTTTTTTAAAAATTAAACTTTTTTTCGGATACTCAAGCTAAGTCTAAACTCAATTGGACTTGGCTTGAAGTTTTTCAAGAAAATAAAAAATGTACAATTTTTTCAAAAATAATCCCAACTATTTTTGAGTTTATCTTAAATTACTAGCTATACTAGTTAGGATAGCCTCAACCTTGACCCCAACATTGGCATGCACAAATTTGTGCATGTGTGTGTGTGTTGATAATTAAGTTACTTTTTCAGTCTTTTTAAGTAGTCATTTCTAACTAATTTACTAAAAAAAATTGTCCTGAAGGTACTTTCCCAATCTTTTTTATATGTCACTTTTAACTAATTCATCAAAACAAAGAAGAGTTAGAATAATAAAATTATTTTAAAAATAAATCACATTTTAATTTTATCCCTATATTGAAAGATATAATTTGTGGGAGAGTTTTCTTAGAAATTGAAACATTTCACTTCTTTTTGGTATTTACTTGGGGATATTTTTGATATTGTACATCAAATGTTATGAAAAAGAAGAGAAAGTTATTGATACAAAGGATCAAGAAAACCCTCTAAAATCTGACTTATTAAAGGGAATGGAGGGAGTAAATCACTTTCCAGTTTTGCCCATAAATTTAAAATAAGAGTGATTTAATATGTGAAAAAAAGTTTTCTTGGGAACTTCCTTTTAGAATTCGATAGAGGGTAATTTTGAAATTGTACACCAAATGTTATAAAAGATAAGGTAAAGTGACTTGTATAAAGGAACAATATAACCTTTTAGAATGTAACTAATAAAAGGATGGAAAAGAGTTTATTAATTATCTAATTCAATATTTTTTTAGATATTATAATCTATATATTTAATTTATATAGATTTTATAAAATTTCTAATATATAATTTTTGGGCAAAACTTATATACTTAAGGTTAGGTCCTTGATATACTTTCTTTCAATAAATTGAAACCACTTCGATGATTTGTCCAGCTCACCAATTAACTCTCCTTAATAGACTTTTACACTGTTAGCATTTAAAAAAGGAAAGAAAATAAGTAAATTAAATTTAATTATTGTCCCAATCAATCCTTGTTCCAATTATTCGTCTCTCCGCCGCTCTCTCGCTGTCTTCTTTTTTCATTCATCGTGCTTGTCTATAGTTTGGTTAACTTAAAGAGGCTGATAGAGATTGAGAGAATTGCCTTCATTAGAATACAGATTAATTAAGTTAATCAAGGATAAGTGAGTAATTTTAAAAGAATATTTAGAGATAAATAATTTTAGTTAAGAAATTATTATTAGATTTAATTTATCATAAATCCAAATTCTAAATTATGATTTTTAAAAAAATAGAAATAGTAATGATAATATTATAAAAAAAAAGAAGAAGGAAAAGGAATATAGAATAAATTGAAAATTGAAGAGGGGAAAGAGAAGTAATTTTTACTTTGAGTGTTGAGGTGTAAATAATGCAAAAAAATAAAGAGGCGGATGAATTATATTCACAGGTGTG